TAAGCTCTTCTCTTAAATCTTTAATTAAATATAATATATTACGATTAAAACTCATTATACTATAAACAAAACTGAAACCGTTCGTAAACCAAAACTCTAAAATTTACACTCTGTTTATCAGTTGCAAAGTACCGACCAAATCAATTCAATGGCCTTTTGCTATTATAGCCAAAATCAATGTCGTTTGGAAAAGAGCAATCTAACCTTGCTGCTTTAAACAAAACACAACTTTATCACCTAATTTCAAGAAACCCAATTGAAATCGCAGTGGAAACCAAATGCTGGGCAACGTATTAAAAAGAAAAGAAAAGCCTAGACATAAAATTGTCAATTCGTATAGCAAAAAGTCCAAGAACCGTCCCTTTATGAAAATATAGTAGACTTTGAAGCTTTTTCCTTGAATACCAATTCTACAAATCAATTGACCTTCCCAAAATATGAGAAATTGATAATTTACTTATAAACCTAGATCACAAAGGAAAAAGAATTCAATTTAAAGAGAAACTGTAAATTCTCAACTATACACGAAAAGCCGACTCCTCCCAAAAAATTCAGTTGAAACCAGAAAATCAATTTAATTTAACTAAATCGAAGCTTTGCTAAACAATACTGATAGAACAATATGAGTAGATAGAATACAATGAAAGTTTCAGCTTACCAGGTTTCAAAACCAACAGATTCGAAGCAACAGATTTGAAGGTGAAGTAAGGTTTTGGGAGAGAACACCAGAGAGGAACCGCAATAAAGGTTAGCGAAGGCGCAGGTTTCTTTCTACGGTCTTAGGCGTATGAGTATACACAGCATTAATCCTAGGGCTTTTATTATAAAAAGATATTTATTTGGGCTAACATAACCTATTTGGCTCTCTCTCGGTCCTCTATGAAAATACTTGTGACCCAACTGAGTAATCATATTTTCCTTTTCAATAATATACTAAATAAATAAAAAAGTACTCCATAGTATTTATTCTTCAAGTAAAATTATTATGAGCTTACCGGTCAGCGTTATCTGCCAAAACAAAACATGTTAAATGATAAATCACATTATCATAGAATAACTTATTTAGCCGACTAAAATGAATAATAATGATTAATATAACTAGCTCATAAAAGTCGGGGTGTTACAACCCCTCCCACCTTATAAAAGTTTCGTCCTCGAAACTTAGAACAAATCAAAACAATGACGCGTCAGATTATTTCTTTTCTATCTCCTCACATTGTTTTAGTGGAACCATATATACTAGCAATCATACTGGCATTTCTTCTAACTACCGATCTGATCGAATGTCCCTTATTGGGGAGACATACTAGTACTTAAGATAAGACTACACAAAGATATGACAAAAGTTCCTCCTATTGAGTGCTTATCTCATTATTTGTGTTTAAACTACAACACAAAATCCTAAACACTGAACATATCATTTATATATGGATTGGTTTGTTGAGTTGCTCTAATTACTTATTAATAATACTTATTAATGTGAGGGTGAAAGATAATGTGAGGGTGGCCGAGTGGAATGAAAGAGGAAAGGGGTGGGTGTCTCTTTTGTCTCAATAGTATGAGTGGTGTGGGAGAGGCCCACCTAAATTTTGTTTGATTCCTTTCCAATCACCTCCCACTCCCTCCCATGCTCCTCCAGCCAACCAAGCCCCCCTAATTGAGTGTCCAAATTCGTGGGTTGGCCCCCACTCATGTGGGAGGTCAACCCTTTTTGTCCAAAAGTGTACAATCGGTCCTGAAAGTTGTATTTTTCGGGCTGTTTTAATTGTATTTTATTTTATCGGGTCAAATAAAATATATTACGTGATCTCAATCATTATGACCCGTATAATGAATGTACATTCCCCAACTTAAATTTATAAGCCTCCGAATTTCATTTCGGGTTGTTATCTGTTAAATTACCAATACCGATATTGTTCCCTTTTTGACCAACCAGTCCACATTATGTCTTTTCTTTGGCCCAAATAATTTATTCACTACTATATAAATATTATATCGACCAAGATGAATAAAAATATGGTATTGGGAATTTCGGGCGGCCCCCGCTCCCGGTGTGGGCCCCACGTGCGAATTTACTATTCACGCAAAGGTTTAATAAAAATTCACTTAAAGGTTTAATACATTATTCACTTAAAAGTAAAAGTTCACGCAAAGATTAATAAAAATTCACAACTCCGTAAACTCATTAACCATTCCATAAGGTTTAATACATTATTCACTTAAAAGTAAAATACATTTGGGGACGGTGTTACAATTAGTGCCATGAAAAGTGGGATGGACTCTGCGAGTGAACCAGACTTGGACCCTTGTATCTAGACCCCCCAACTATTCGGTAGTTGAGTGTAAGTGGTTGTTTAAGGTTAAGGAAGAACCTAGTGATGTTAGGTTTAAGGCTAGGTTAGTTGCGAAAGGGTTTACTCAAAAAGAGGGGGTAGATTATGCAGAAATCTTTGCTCCTGTTGTTAAATTCACCAATATTCGTATGATGCTTGCTTTAGTTGCTCACCATGATTGGGAAATGAAACAAATGGATGTAACTACTGCATTTTTGCATGGTGAATTGGACAAAACGATTTATATGACCCAGCCTGAGGGCTTTGTGGATCCCAAGAGAAGTGAGCATGTCTGTTGCTTGGGAAGGCTTTGTATGGCCTGAAGCAATCCCCTAGGCAGTGGAACATCAAATTTGATAAATGCATGATATCTTTGAAGTTCCAAAAATCTATTTGTGATCATTGCCTGTATTTCAAAAATACTTCTTCCGTGCCTGTATTTTTGTTACTCTATGTGGATGATATGCTGATAATTAGTCCTTCTCTAAATGCTTATAAAGATGTGCAAAAGTGCCTTTGTGCGAATTTTGCCATGAAAGACCTAGGTGATGCCAAGAGGATCCTAGGCATAAACATTGTTAGGGATAGGGGTACGCGTACTCTTACTTTGAATCAGATTTCTTACATAGAAAAGGTTTTGAGTAAATTCAATATGTTATATGCTTCTCCTGTTAATGCCCCTATGGCATCTCACTTTGTGTTAAGTAAGGACCGGTCTCCCAAGACTGCTCCTGAAATTGAGAAAATGAAATATGTGCCCTATTCCAGTGCAATAGGGTCGGTTATGTATCTTATGGTTAGCACTAGACCTGATATTGCATATGCGGTTAGTTGCTTGAGTAGATATATGTCCAACCCCGGTTTGCCCCATTGGAATGCTCTTAAGTGGTTGCTTAGATATCTGATATCTACTGTGAAGCATGGATTAATTTTCTCTAAGTGTGCTAGTGGTATTGAATTGATTGGTTATGTTGATTCTAACTATGCAAATGATAAAGATAACAGGAAGTCGACCACTTCTTATGTTTTTACTTTGTGTGGCTCTTGTATTAGTTGGAAGTCTCAACTGCAGCCCATTGTGGCCCTCTCTACCACTGAATCTGAGTATGTTGCAGCCACAGAAGCATTTAAAGAAGCCATCTGGCTCAAACGCCTTGTCTCCGAAATTGGGTTTCTTAAACAGGGAGTTACCATTTTCTCGGATAGCCAATTGGCTATCCAACTTTGCAAAAATCCTGTATTCCATGATAGAACTAAGCATATTGATGTTAGGTTCCATTTCATACGTGATATTGTTGATGCAGGTGGATTCAAGCTGTGCAAGATCCCGTCCGAGTTTAACCCCGCGGGTATGGGTACCAAGTGTCTTTCTGCTGAGAAGCACTTGTCCTGTAAACGCGTGTTAAACTTTGACTGTGGATAACTGTGGGTTGCGTAATAAAGTGTTTGCCCGTTTTATCGGTTGATATTCCGGGTGACCCGACGATGATGAGTCTTGTCACAACCTTGTATTGTTACTCTACACCACCTAGGACCAATAAGGTGGAGAATGTTGGAGGTATTGGTCCTACCAAGGTCTCCCTTCCACTTTATTTGCTGGGGCTTGCACCCTATGTTTTACTCCCTCTTTGGTACCTTTTACCTTGGTATATTATCTGATCAATTATATACCTGTTGAGTGTTTGACTCACCTACTTGGCTGGCCCTCCTTTGTTTTTGTCCGCTGCACTCCTTGTCTTGGTAACCCGTGAGGCACTTTGTTTTTGCTTCACCCGTGACTCTCTTGTCTTGGTGTTACCCGTTACTATATGAAGCAAGTGACTTCTTCCTTGTTGAGCAGCCTGCGAGAGTAACATTTCCAGAGAGCAGAGCTCCCTTCTTCTTCCTTTCCTTTGTGTGAGAGTCGAGAGGTCCTTAGTGGAGAGTAGAATAGGGATGTGTTGTAGCTTTCCCTAGTGTGGTGTATGTGAGTCTTTGTGTAGAAAGACCTAAGCCGGAGACGGAAGAATCCGATCCCAACATAACTAAATCCGAGTCTAGAAACAAACACAGTCACCATGGTGTGCAGACCAACGTGATGGAGAAAAATTTTGTGATGATTGACAAATTGATTTGCTTCTAATAACAGCCAATTCAATTAGACCGGTGTTTCATTCTAAAAGATCAACTCTGATATGAATGAGTAGTATTTAGATCGTAATATAGTGCTTAATTTCTTCACTCATTTCCGGTGTGAGAATTTAACAAAGAGAAATTAGTTTTTTGCGGTCAAGGGTATTCCTTTGTCACCGAACTCTAGAATTCTTAACCGTAGATTTGAGTAGTAATAAATCAATAGTACGTGCTTTATACCCCTTATTAATGGATGTAGAATAGTTTTCTACCCTCCTCTCAAGTAAAATATTTTTCATGATACAATGTAAAATATTTAAAAAAATATCATACGGTTTGCATTAAATACAAAACAAACAGTGTAAACTGTAAAATGTTTTAATGTGTGAACTACCGAGCAGGCCGACTAGAACGCATATTAGGGAGTATAACTTATCGATTAGAAAGCGTAATCAATGGGCTCCGAAGAATTATGATAAAACAACATTATTAAAATAAAAATAATGTATACTACTCCGTGCTACATACTCCATTTAACATGACTTAGTCAAGTAATTATAGTGGAAGAAAATTAGAAAAAGGCAGGTGGTTCCGGTCAAAAACAATGCAGCGTTTATGGATCCTATTTGTGTATCATTATTAAAAAAGACAGCATGAAACACTATGATATACGGCGTTGTTAAGAATCAGAGGTACTCCGTTAAACATAAATAAATAAATGTAAATACAATCTTCTCCCTGTTACAGCTGATGATGAGGTCCTTTAACCTCTCTGGATATCGTTCCTATAGACGAGAGTTCGAATGTTACACTTGTTTTTGTGTAATAATCAAAATAGTACTACTGATACTCATCGGAGCATTAATCGTTCTTTTCATCCTGGACATAATTTATAGCATTGGGCACCCAGATCCTAAAGTTCCGGCCTACTCCGTACTGGACGCGCCCTTAACAACCATTAATGACAGCAGCAGCGGCTCCACCGGTGGCGGCGGCGTAACCTTCATCCTCAACACCCGCAACCGAAACAAAAAAATGTACACCAACGACGTCGGCCCCTCCAGTGCATCACTTTACTTGGGCGGGGCACTGACCCCCGCCCAGGAACTGGTTGCGAACGCCACATTGACAGCGTTTTTGCAGCCGCCCCTGGCTTCCACTAACTTCACCCTCACCTTTCCGGCCGCGGTGCCTAAGGACACCTCCTCCGCCGTCATAAAGATGACGGCTCAGTTTCGGTACAGTTACTATCCGGATTATGATGAGCTTCAGGTCTCGTGCCAGTTGTCCAAGCGCAAGGGTTTTGATGCCGCCACCCAGTGTGACGTAAAGTACTTCAGTTGCTCGACCGATAGGTTTGTAATTTCATCTCTTCCCATTAATCTTTCATTTCCAAAGCACCGGATGGATTTAGAATTTGGAAAAATTACTAGTATAATGGTCGAGCAACTGATTTATACTTGCACTTGATTTATTAGGATGTGTTTACTTTGAAATGAAATTAAATCCGTAATGTCTGGTATATGTATATTTTATGATCATCCAATTCTGATCTCATCTTCTCTGGTCTGAGAATGAAAACAGTCCAAGCAAAATGGCGTTACTTACAAAACAATTACAAGTATATCTTTGAACAATTAAATAGAATAAAACTTATTTACAAAAATATGACTAATAGTTATTACAATGTAGTGTCATGATAACTTAAATTTAAAAACTTAATATAAATTACTATGAGTCCATTACACCCTAGTCACTAGTCATTTTTTCGTAAATAATTTTCATTTTAGTCAAATATATGTGATTTTTCTAATTGTCGTTGTTCTTAAATTAGAGTCCTTCTGATACTCCGTAATATTTTTGAAAGTGGCTGAATCGATTGATTCTGCTGAGATTTATGAAATTCTTGCTGATTATGCTGAATTATGAAAAAAAATATTTAAAATATATTTTATCAATAAATTAAAGACAAACATTATATGAAAAATAATGAAAATGGTCTTCTATAGTTACTTTAGCCAATTCATCTAAAAATTTAAAAAGAAACTCCAACCTAACTTATTTTGAATATTAAATAATTCATTGTGTGAAATCCAAAGTTACGAATTTAATGATCCGATTTTCTAAACCAATATTCCTGTCAATGTGATTGCGTATTGCAGCAACGGAACGCGCTATTGTGACTGAAAGGATTATAATCAACAATGGAACTATCAATTCATACGCTGCAACTATTTACGAACGGTGCCTCGACCGAATTTTCTAGTTATATATACTATCTATTTCGCATTTCTACTCTCATAACTATATACTTATATATGATGTACGCAGTATAAAATTGTGAGCAAAGTTTGTGTTTTAATTATATTCCAAATTTAGTTTTAGCCGGTCAATGCGTAGACTAGCTTAGCTTGGGGAGCGGCAAAGGCTAAAAACCCCTGCCGTCTCCCCCATAACTACTATATTCAAGTTATTTTACGTGATCTCTTTCTAGTGATGTATAGAATTTGTGTATTTGTTATCACTGAAACTGAGCGGGTGTTCATTTTATTGTTGCATGAAATTTTGGGAGAAGTTTAGACATCGGCGATTCGGGGGCAATCATTTATCCTTCTCTTGAACCATTGTCATGCTATGAGAGAAAGATAGTGCTCGATTGCAGCCTTGTAGGGATGAATCTGGGCTAGGGTCATGAAAGGCCGAGACCACCCTAAAAAAATACTAGTACATAAACATGTAGTATTATACTTCGTATATAGCAAGAATTTTAAGAAGCACGTTACATGCTCGTTAGTCGTTACCGAGCACGTAACCAATGTAGCACTGGATGCGTTTAAAATTAAGTGGGTTTTGCCGTTTTATGACCCAACTTTTTTGTGTTTTATACGATGATGTCATATCATTTTATAGTACAGTATATTTGTTGTATTTTCTATTTAGTCTAGCTCTTGTAACTCTTCAAAAAAATTAAGGAAAGAATTACGATACCCAATTGAAAAATGGGGTATCGCACATATCATACATTTGTTTGGTAGAAATTACTTCAAATAGGACTAAGACTATGGCAAAAACTCAAAATAGGACTTGCTATGTTTTTTATTCCAAAATAGGACCATAGTGGTCCTATTGGAAACATACCCATTTCTTCCTTTCATTCTTACCCCTCCTTTAAATATTAGTAAAAGATAGCTAAAAGTCATAATTAAATGTTTAATTCATAATAAATTCGAAAAAATTTCAATATTTCGTAGAAAAATAATAAAAAAATTAATAAAATTTTAATAAAATAAAAAATAAGAAAAAAAAATTTTAATTTTTTTTTTTGAAAATTAATAAAAAAATAGTAAAACTCCATTAAAAAAAATGGATACCTTTCCCACCGCCTGTACTACCTCCCTGAACCACCACTTCCGATCGGTGTAAAAAATGCCACTTTTTTTAAATTCCACAAAAATGACATATTTCTCTATGACAATGCCAACATTTTCATTCTGCCAACTTGAATCCTTTTGACTTTTGCCAAAAATATGGCATTCATAAATTTTTTTGCATTTTTTACCCTGGTGACAGGAGGTGGTGGTACCGCCTCCCTGCACCACCACCAATATGGCATTCATAATTTTTTTGTTTTGATTTTTTTTTAAATTTTTTTTTAAAATTTATTATTATTTAAAATATTTTTATTAATTTTTTGGTATATTTTACGAATTTTTATTATTTTTTATTATTTTATTATGAATTAAAACATTCCAATAGGTATAAGGGTATATTTGTCCAAGACACACATAATTAGTCCTATGGAAACATAGTTTATTTTTTGGTCCTATTTGTGCAAAGTGAATGACTTTTAGTCCTATTTTGATAATTAACTCTTTGTTTGGTCTATACTTGACTATTAGTCAAGTATAGAACAACGCCATATACCGACTTGATAGTAGCATTTAATCTCTTAACTCCTTGATGAAATCAATTGAGATTGATAACCTCAACACAACGGTTTCGGTTTAACCAACAAAATTAATCCCTCTTAAGTTTATTAACCACGACCATGCATTAATAAACCGAAGTTACTTACTTGTGAAACTATCAACGATAAACCATCGGTTCGATGATCGTTTCTAGTAATAATTAATATATGAAACAAAACTAATTGATCGTTTAAGTAATGTTCAAAATATTAATATGAAATATGAATAGGAATTAATTAATACTCAAGGAAGAATATTAAAGAAAATGAATCCTACTATAGTTAATATCGAGATGTTAACTAATTGTCATCTTAGTAACACTCCCCAATATTAACATAGAGGAAGGAATGGCTATTACTAAGATCAATGTCAAGATGTTAACTAATTGTCATCTTAGTAACACTCCCCAACATTGATATAGAAATAGTATTTAAAGGAAGAATTAATATTCAAGGAAAGAAGTTAAGAAAATAACTCACAACTTTAATAATCAACAAGCTTCAAGAGCAATACCAAGAAATGGAAGTTTAGCTCCTCATTTGGAGACTAAACATGCTAAAAGAAATATAAAGAAATTCTATTCTAAACTGAGCTTAAGAGAATAAAGGGATTGGTGTTGAATTGTGAAGGAAAGGGGGTGTATTTATAGGCTTTTTTGGGGTGCAGGTCGGGTACTCGATCGAGTATATACATGTACTCGATCGAGTATGTGTAAAAACCTGAATTCGATCCATACTCGATCGAAATCAGATTAAAATTTAGAGCCATACCCGATCGAGTATGTCGGTGTACCCGATCGGGTATAGACACTCGATCGTGGTCAAAATCTTCCCTGCATGTTCCTTTGTTTTCGGATCCGATCCGATTTGAAATTTCAACAAGATACCTGATCGAGTATAGGTGATACTCGATCGGGTATAGACCAAAAAATCAGGATCATCCCTTTGTCTTGTGATTTTGCACCTTCCTTCCACTTTTGGGGTTCACCAACTGTCCTTTGAGTGATAGTAGACCTGTTTGAGCTCAGAATAAACCTAATCTAAAGAATTTGCAAGAATTTAACAAACTAAACTATTACACCAAAAGTGTGTAATTTCCGAAATATTAAACAACCAAAACTAACTAAAAACGTAAACATACACACGGAAATTACACGCGTATCACAATCCACCGGAGTTGAGCACCTCGGAAACTCGCACCTTCCTCTCAATCTTAACAACAGCAAACAGAGAATAGGCGATTTCTCAGATCTTTCTTCTTTCTCACTTCTCTCCCTCATCGCACCTTCCTCTTAATATCAGCAACGAAAAATATAAAAAGGCGAGATTCAGAAGCTAGATCGGCATCTCACGGTATCATCAAATTCCTTCCTTTCCTCATCTATTCGTTTTCGTCATGCATCTTCATCTGCATATATTAGTTGTTTGAATGATTCATTTTTGTTTTTCGTCACTTCATTACTTTCTCTTCATGAATTACATGAGCGTCCTACGATTCGATTTTGTGAGCTCATACCAACTGGGGAAGCCATGAATTTATTTCAATTACAAAACCTTATCTTTTTTATACCAATTGCCGTCTTATTATCCTCCTATCTTCTTGCTTCTTTCCTCTCACCTTCAAGATTGAAATGGCATTTTTAGTTCATCGAATATTCCTCCCATTGACAAGTAGGTGTTGAAAATGCCTCAAGTATAATGTTGGTGCTTGATTATAAGAGCACTACTGAATCTGTTTTATTGCCATGTTTAATCTGTTTGTTTCCTTCTATGATGTATGGTTGTTGTTTATGACTCAAGTACTATTTAGGGCAGGTTATGTTTTACTATCATCCTTAGCCTCTTTGTTGATTATGACTCAAGTATTCTTTAGGGAAGGTTATGTTTCTAAAACATTGGTGTTGACAGAAAGATCTATTTGTAATCATTTTATTGAAATATTCAGTTTGTCATTCAATCATTGCAGGAAAAACAGTTTCTACTATGCATCTTTTGCCACTTTTAAGTTAAACACCAATTTGCAAATCGTTTAGTTACAGGTAAACTAGATTGGCTTTATGTCGTTTCTCAGGAACACATATAACATAAGTGCTATTGCAACCTTAGCTCACAAGCACAAAGGTAAATTATCACTACTACATTTTCGGGTCTAATGTAACATTATGTTTGTAACAGTTAGTAAAAACGTTACATTAAGTTCATCTATTGTAATAGTTATATATCATTTGGTTCATTTGTGTAACTGCCGTTACATACTGTTACATTTGGTTTCATCTACTGTAATGGTTATATATCATTTGGTTCATTTGCGTAACTACTGTTACATTTAGTATGATTCTAATGTAACACTGGTGTTGTATAACAATTTTTTTCGACATAAAATGAAGAGCGGGAATGGGAGGCTGGGAGCACCATATTTTTTCATTCAAAATTCGACCCAACCATTTTTTAGGTTTGCTGCCCTCCTAACAAAAACCTAAGGCAAAGTGGAAAACTCTAAAATATTCGGTATAAGGAACCCAAAACCCTCCTTTGACCTCTTCACCATCCAGAGAGCTAGACAACGATAGAGCTCCTCGTTTTCTTCTGATTCGATTTCACACCTACACGACATATTCTCTACAATCTGCAGATGGCTCTCGCTCTCAATCGACGCTACGACATCTCCTCGCTCTAAATCGACGCTACGACATCTCCAATTAACCTCTCTGCGTCATGGAAAGCCCTTTACGCAAGTCGGCTGAGGTATTAAATTAAATATTTCAGAACGAAATTTACACTTAGATATACGGATTCAAACGATTGACGTGAGGCAATCCCTTGAAATGTTTGGAATTACATCTTGTTGTTGGATTTAGAGATTTGAATGTAAAGAAACACTCAACCTCAAAAATCTTCGTACTATTTTATTTGGAAAATTAACCTGTTGATTTTTGTTGTCAAACATAGTATGGTTAAAATCTTTATGTAATTTCTTATCTTATTTTTTTCATACCTACTAATATAAAGGAGTTGGGGATATCTGTATGTACATTGTGCTTCAAACATTTAATTTGATGTAGAGTGGGATGAAGCGATGGTAAGGCCATTATGTGGTAACATCAAGTAATGAAGCACATTAGGTGTTTGTGAGTATGCCTTAATGAACTAGGAACACAAGCATGACTTGCTCGGCCAAGTTTATTAAAGATAGTAAGGTTATTGATAAACTTGATTATGATATCGCTGCAAAGGAGGCCAAGGCACGATTCAAGGAGAGGTTCAAGAGTCGGAAAAACCGTTGGATTTTCACCAAGCTCAGGTTCTAAGCTCTGGTTATGATAATCTTGAAGTGTTTTTCTATGACTTGACATTCATAGGAGGTGCTGCTTTTTTAATCTGTGGGAGACCAAACACTTTCACCGCTAGTAATCAGCCATCGTTTTGTCTTACTTTTGAACTCACTTCCAGTTATTTATTAAAAGCTTTTCTATATAAAAAAAAAATTGATAAACTTGATCAGAATGATATATAATAACCTGATTTATGAAAAACTAAATTTGACAAAATAGATAAGGGAAAAGATAATAGTGAACTATAATCCGTAAAGTTTATGGTAACTACAATGAATATTTAATTAGATGTGTATCTTTTAGTCCAATAAAGAAATTATATAATCTCTATCAGTAATGGGTGACTAAAAATAATCAAACATTGAGAACCTATTTGCTAAGACTTGTGATGTTTCCAAATGATTGTACTTACCTGCTCTAGTTTGATCTAATTGATCTGATCATCTAGGTGATATTCAATGTCTTTAAATAATGTCTAAATCTATTTTAGTTTAATCTATGAAGTCCAGCAGCTATTTTTTGTGCCTAAGATGATTGAATTCAAATAATATGCACTCTTTTGAAGATC